TTTTTTTTTTTTTTCGGTTACAAGGAGGGCCGAAGCCCAAGAAAGAGACCAAAAAGAGAACTACACTGGGACAAGCCTAGCAGTGGTCATTCTAACAGAGTCATTTGCCAAGAGGCTTACAATAGAAGGAGGGGGAAGATCAACAACATGATAACCCAAATTGGAGCTTTGACCAATATGAGCCATATGGTCAGCAGCAATGTTTTGCTCTCTATAAATATGAGAAATGGAACACTCCCAGTCACGCAACAGCATGTCTTTGCAACTGTGGATGAGGCTAGAGAGAGGGTGACTAGGCCTAGTCTCTCCATTAATTAAGGAAACAGCAGTAACAGAGTCACTCTCCACTTTAATTCTTCGAATACCTTCATTCCACGTAAGAGATAAGCCTCTGAAAATACCCCATAATTCAGCTTCAAGGATTTTACCACACCCCAAATTTGTGACGAAGCCCTTAATCCAGCCACCCGTAGAATCCCTTATGATGCCACCAGCACTAATAGATCCCAGCTCACCCATACAGCTACCATCCACATTAATTTTAAAACAGCCAGCACTAGGCGGAGACCAATGTAACTTGAGAATTTGTTTGGGGGCCTTAGAATTCCTGGAGCAATTAGCCACCAGCCACTCCCTAGTAAACTGGATGATTGGAATTTGGGGCCAAGGAGGAGGAGTAAAGGTGTCATCAAAAACTTTCTTACATCGCCATTTCCAACAAAACCACAGGGAGGCCAAGAAAAGAGAGGACCAAGGGATACCTTGCATGCAGCTGAAACTAGCCTTAATATTGATGAGAAGCCAGTCCTTGAAATCCATAGAGAAAGAGTGAGCAATTTGATTAGGAATACTAACCAAAATTCATATCAAATATGAACAAAATCCATGTCAATTACATAATTAATCTAACAAAAGTTAATACCAATTAATCTAATCAAAAGCACATGTAAATTGGAGGTCATGAAATAAACGTACATGTGATTAGAAGTTTGGGGTAATTTTCGGTGAATTTTTTGGCACACATATGAGCAGGACCGGCCCTGACATCTTGG